AACATCCACTGGCCGTGGGGAAGTTTCCATACACTTGGAAACAAATGGTTCAAAAATAGGCGATTCAGTTCTAAGCCTCTTTTTTGATCTCAATACTTCTTTAAATTTACAAACATTATTTTAAATCATTTTCTGTAATTATAAGATTATCTTAAGATTCTAGATGCTTAATCTTGAAAATATTTATAGGATATTTCAATAATTATGTTAAAGCTAAAATGAGCAAAACCAAATTTAAAAAAAAACTTTTAAAACTTCTTCTGACCTATTTTTATTTATATTTGTAAAGTTGTATAGCTACGTCGAATTTCTGTCATGTAGTTATATTAGATAACTTTACTATATTTTCTTAAAAGATCTATAATACCTATATTTTCCAATTATCGAGTGCTATAAAAACATGAATAGAACCATTACATTTTTCATGTTTCACGCAATTACCCATTATTATTCAATAATACAAGTTCAAGTCCTTTTTATACAAACCAATTTCAGTGTACACAATTCGATTGGCAATAAAGTAAACAAAGCCAGTGAAAGCCAAACAAGTGGCCAGACTTTGCCCATTTCACACAGATGTTTAACAAGCCGGCCCGGGTCATAAATCATCCAAATGGATATATTCACCGGGTTTATCCATCTCCCATTTGTTGGTTAGCATTTGACTATGACCGTGGCGGCGATCGAGTAGATCCTCGGGGTGAAAACTCGCTGACATTGACAGTTTCTAATAAGAAAATTGGCCAAGATTTATGCCCGCGCTGTTGACTTCCATTTTAATTTAAAACTAATCAATAAACTGGCACAGCCAACTGCGCGACGAGAGCAACAAAAGTGTCCAACAAATGGCCAAATGATGCTGCAAAGTGCAATGTCACAGTAATTTACGTGCCACTCGAATGGCAACATGCTCAACGGCCACAAAGCTGATGAGAATTTATGCTAAGGGTTAAGTGTCAGCCTCGTCAATATACATATGCATAGTGGGTGGTTTCGCTGACTGCTGCCATTAAAATTAACCATAACCATTTTCGCCATGAGATCATCATTCCTTTGCTTTGCATATTTTAAAAAATATGCATTGGGAAAATATAAAAAAAAGTGCTCATTGTCGTTCTAAAAAAGAAGTAAATTTAAGCATGTCTGTTTATATTATATAAAATATTCATATATCGTTATAAATAAATATGATTGCTTAGATTTCATAGAATATTTATGAAAACTAACAAGTTACTTACTTAGTTTTGAGAATTGCAATTTTTAAAATTGATATCGCGCGTTTATTGTTTTGTTATAAATATTACAAACTCGATTAAGTTTCCACCAAATCGAAAATCTTGTAACAAAAATAATTTAGTTGTAAAAAATCCAAAAAAAAACAGAATATTGACAAACCATGAAGGCAAATTTAAATATAATTTGCTTAGCTTATCAATTTTAACCCATTGTACTGCAATTTCGCGGCTTTGGCCGTGTTGTGCGTGTGTGTTTGTGCGGAAAAGTGAAAAGTCATGAATCATATACATCATGATCACACCAAAGCGAACCACACCACACGACCATGGCGAACTAGGATGGATGGTGATGATGATGAAGCTGCAGCAGCCGAGGCATCGGATATGCGACTGGATGGGCCATAAAGTTACATGGCTTATCGCTGGAAAACTTTTAAAAAACACTTGAGATTGTGCCGAGAACGAGTGCGGTGGCCAAAGCAAAGCGAAGAGCGCTTGGAAGACGCGTCTACGAACAGGTATACAGGTATACCTCTTCCACAGAAGAGCCTAAGCACACACCGCCAAGAGAAAGATCCCCGGAGGTGAGGGAAAGGTGGGTTCTCCGGATCGAGGACGGTGGAGGAGGATGGAGGAGCTGTTGGTGGCTTGTATCTACAAATAGACGCGCACTGACGGCCGCAAGACAAAGTCAAACAAAAGACCCAAACGGTAGTTGCCATGAATGGACAACAGACTCAAAACCGGCTGATAATTACAGTAGATCCTCCATAACATTAATAAGTCGAGTTACCGAAAATGAAAATATGAGTATGACAGCAAAGTTCTAAGTTTTGGTAAGAACTTTGAGTAAAGTTTATCAATACTCATAGAAATATCTATAGCCATCTTTTGTGGCATTCCAAATATAATATGGATAACACAAGTTAATTGTGATTTAATAAAATGCAATAATCAATTATCGGAGATTCTGGGGTAGTTATGTAATAATCCTGAAGAGATTTCAAGTTTCAGAAAATAAATTTTAGACTTTTAATCAACAACGAACTATTATTAAAATATTTGCACTTAAAATAGCAAACTCAATTTTAAATATTTTTATGCATTGAAAGATAAAAGATTAAGGAAAATATCGCTTTTGAATGTCAAGACAAGTTCTTGGTAGAGAATTTGAACTGTATCCGCATCGGAAAATACGGGGCACAGACTCCAGCTGAAACTCCATCCCGAACGCAGTTGCAAATGCAACTTTGTTGCCCGTGGGCACAGCATGGCCTCCTCGGACGAACAACTATTTATTGGAATGGATCTCGGGACTCCGACCCAGTCGCAGATTCAGATAGGAGCCCCATAAAATTCCCGCGCACGCACCGGCAAATGCGAATGCATTTTGTGTGTTCGATAATCGAGAGTCGGCGTTTCCCACAATCGACGTTGCACTTGAATTTGAATTCGCAATTGCTCTCTAAATATTTATGAGTTGAACTCTGTAGTTAGTTTCTTAGCCTGCGATAATGAAAGTGCGGCAAGGAAGGGATTGTCGGAGTTAAAAGTCAAGTCAAAGTTAAGAAGAGTCTACTTACCTGCTAATTTAATGGTAATTTAAATGGACTAGAAGTAAATCTTTGTGAATTAGGAAATGTTTGAGTAAAACTACAACAAAAACTGTGACATATATAAAAATTCTGTTGTATTTAATTTACCTCAAGAACATCATAAAGTAAATTAAATGACTTAAATAATCACTGGTCAAATTTCAACAGACAAAATTGTTAATACCTTTTCTTCGATTACAGATATAGTTCTTTCGTGTTGCAATCTAATCTCTTACAATATTTATGGCTTTCTTATCTAATAAATGCTTGCAATTAAACGTCATTTTTAGATTTTTGCCTAGCACAGATTTGTTCGACCAAATTAAAGAAAAACTTGAACCACTTCTGCCTCGCCCCGCACCCCTTATCGAAGCCCATTAATCAAGATTGTGTCAAAGGTATTAGCTCATTTGGGGGCTCAACATGAAATCGACTCAGGGTCTATGGGGATCGGATCCAACATTGGAACATTTGGGCGATTACAAACTATTACTGTTGTCAACTGCCAGCGGTAACATTTTATTACGTGAGCCCCGTGCTCTTTTTCTTTCCCCCAATTAATTCTAATGTAATTGAAACTGTGTCCGGCTTTTCGCTTATCGAAATGCTTGTGGCTTGAGCAACCGCACTGTGATTGCTAATGGCGTGGAAAGCTACCAGAATTGGTGGTGATGAATTTTATTTCGATGAGGAAGGTCTGAGCGTTGCAACAATATTTATGAATAGGTGCAGGGATATTAAAGATAAGAACAAATAGGAAATTTTAAGTTTTTTGACCCACATTTCTTATGATTGCTTTGGAAACTAATTTATAATGATTAGAAACGACTATTAAAAAGCTTTTTAAATTGGTTAATGCAGGTTTATTCAAAGTGCTTCTCTTATTGCCTAAATAACTCAAGACCTTTTTAAATTTAGAAATTATTTTAAAAGTAATTTTTTTGTAATGCAGGTTTTTTATTGAAGATTTAGTGTCAAAATCTTTTTTTTTACTACTGAACTGTTTGGTGATTTAATTTTAAGGAAGACCATTGCAGGTAAAACAAATCGATATAAAGTAGGGTAAACAGAACTTCAAGACCTCCGACAACTTATTTCTGGTTGCTGTTTACATTTTCCAGCGCCTATCAAGTACTTAATATATTATTTCGACGATGACTCTATTCAAGGGCAATTTACAAAAATCTCAAACACAAGATCGAGGGACAACATCCTGGCACATACCCTCACAAAAAGTGTGTAGCTTATCTGAGAGATAACCCCTGGTGCGCGGAAAGTATCTCGTGGGTTAATGAGGCACCAGAGGCACGTACGCTTGCGTCATCGGGTAGCTGAAAAAAAAAGAAGGCTCTGGGTCTGAAGAGTGGCAGAAGGGAGACACCAGACCCTTACCCTGGCTTTAATGTTTGCCATTACGGACTGACACCGCGATAAGGGACAATTCCTGCAGCCAGCACCTCAATCAGTCAAAACCCATGAAGAGCAAATACCATATTCACAAGTGTTTTAATGGTGTATTGAAGTGTACCGCCCATTAGATACCTGGGAATTAAATCACATTTTAAATATATGTACACATATATTTATTTTAATACTTAAGACCAAATTAATTTTTAACTTCATACATAATTTGGTTATAAGTCAAAATATCTACCCGATCTTTGAACTTGTTACACCTATTGTACATTTTTTAAAAGGGTTTTTTAACATTAACATTTTTGGTTGACGAGGCCAAAGTGTAACTTTTACTTGTGTCTGCATACTAAAATTGGTAACTGTAGCTCTTCAGATCTCTAAAATCCATAAGATACAGTTTATAGGTCGTAATTTCTACCAGCTAACTACCTTATATACAATATACGACTTTGCTCTTCAAGTAATGGGTATTAAAGACAAATACAAATACAACGACAACGAAGCGTGAATGAATTTCCTCGGCGCAAATTGAAAAAAGAGTGATAGTGATAGTAGAACTGATAAGCGGCGAGCGCCGTGCTGAGATCGCGTATCAGAGGAAAAGAGAGAGGAGAGCGGTGTGGTGCTGGAAAACCGGTATGTGTGGAGAGTTCCGGAGAGTTGCGCTCTCAGCTGGCTCAGAGTGGAGACTCGTTCGACTCTCCGCTTCTCTGGCACTTTTCTGGCTTTTTCACACTCAGTTTCGAAACGCACTTCAAAGCTCGCGCATGCGAATCGGGAAAATCGGCCGACTCCGATCGGAATATCATTACGACTCGCGATCGATCAACCGGCATTTTCTTGCCCGCCACTCTGGATACGGTTTCAAATCGCTAAACGTGCCAAGTTCCTTGAAAATGTGCGAAAATCGCTGAATTAAACAACGCTCTCATGTGACGTATGCGTAATGTGACCACAGTGCGGATAAATTTAATAATATACTTACCTGAGTATAAATAGATACGACTATACGGTGTGTCATTGTCTAGGAATTTTGTGTTTCGTCTGCAAAATGTGCAAAGTTTTTTACTGTTTACATGGCGAAATTCCAAGAGTTCCTGAGTCATTGGCTAAGACGAAGAGAGATTAGATAACCATCGACCAACCTTCTCGGGAATATAGAAAGTGGGACTTACACTAGTTTCACAAATGTATGCAAGAGTTTTGAAAATGCAAAAAGATTGACAATAATCTTCTATTTAATTAAACTTCGTTCATAAATTAATAAATTAAATTTGTTTCTAAGTCAAATAGAATTTAGAACCATCAAAATACATAGGTGTTTTAAAAATTAAAAAAAAAACTGTTGGTTTTGATAACCTAAACCATTTGTTGAAAAAAGCCTCTTGCATATACTTTAAATGAGTGATTATATTAAAAGATCAAAGAATTGTAAGCCAATTTGTACTCAAGTAAAACTCTTCGCACAAAAACTTCAAAAACGAAACAAAAACAAAGCTTAAACCAATGAAAGTTATGTGTGAAGAAAATTAAAATAATAAATATAAATAAGTGTTTTTTTGTAAAGCGTCCAACGCCGGCTCTGTAGATGTATTACGAAAACGAATTTAACGAAAAGGCATAAAGGAAAAATCCACAAAGTACGTGCTATAAAAAGTGAAAAAAAAGGGCAGAACGAACGAGGAATTCGGCGCAAGAAGCTGGCCAAAATCAACTTGAAAGGATTTGCAGCTGGAACTGCATCCATCCAGATAGAGATACAGATTCAGCTGCATACACCCTTACCGATACAGATACGGATACATACATGAGGCAGCCAACGAACCACAAAAGATACATGCCATGTTCCCACTAACCAACCGCTCTTCGAGTGGCAATCGCACCAACAACAGTACGAACAACAACAATCAGACCACGAGCTTTATAATCGGAGGTACCAGCAATATTAACAACAACAACAACAACAACCAGATCGGTGGCACCAGCAACACTAAGGATAAAGGAAATTTTGAAAATAATTGGAGCTGCAATAAAACAACCGGTCGTCGATCTGGAAGTGGAAATAGCTGCAGTTTTTTAGGTACATTTTACTTAAAGCATTTAAAAATTAATTTTTTACAATTATTTAAAATTTGTTTAAGTAATATGTCATACAATAATTTAAAGAAGTCTTTGCAGTGAGTTAAAAACAAAGGAGAACTGTATTTTTAAAGATTGATTTTATGGTAGTTGTTTTTGCTCTTAAACTGAGATCCATTTTATACATTAAAATATAATTTTTAACCAAAAATTATATTAAAATTTTATTAAACAAACTAAAAATGAAGTTCATGGATAAAGCTATTTTAATTATTGTCCATAACCATACAAATGATATTTAAAATTTTTGGCTAGTTAAACTGAACATTTTTTTTTAAGTCTAATTAAAACTTTCGGTTTGTCTTGTTATTATTTTTTTAATATAGCATACTCAAGAAATTTAACTTGAAATAACGCTCCATTAGTAAGACTCTGCCCATTGCATTGCACTTAAAACTTTTCGTACAATCTCGAGTAAGGCGGCTTCTTTGATCACTTGAGCTTTATCTTATGACCATCTCATCTCTTTCATTGGAATGGCTGCAATTTCACAAATCGCATTTACCTTTTTCCGTACTGTCGCATTTATGTCGCGAAACTTTTAAAGGGTTCCCTTTTTTAGCAGCAATTTACAATGCAAATTGCATTAATTGCAATTTTCTGTTTAAATTGAGTTTGCTGTTGTTGTCTGTTGCGGCATTGTTGTTGTCTTTACATTAAAATGCAAATACTTTGCACTAATTTACATGTCGCGCCGCCGATTGCAGTGGAAAATCTCGATCCTCCCCCCGCATTTCCTCGACCATAAAATCGCCCGAAGAGACAATGGAAGTCTTTTGTGATGAACACACACGACTCGGCTGCGCTGGTGTGAGTTTGTATCTGTGTGAGTTGGGGGGAGGAAGTGTAAGTGTGAGCTTGAACCATGTGAAATGCCATAAAAATTCCAGACTTTCTTGGGCTCCTTCCTCTTTTTTGTCTTAAACATTATTTGCAAAACACCAGAGTGTACCCAATTCAATAAACATTTGGTGGGTATTAGAAGAATGTGATCCATGAGTGGCTTAAATTCTCCTTGCAATCTAGTTTTTAGAATATAAACTTTTATCAGCAATTAGGCATTTATTTCATTGTCATTTTAAATGTTAATAGAAATTGAATTACCAAAAGATGCATTGCAAATTAATTTGAGGTATAAATTTCAATTTATTTTCACTTTAAATTAAATATTATTTTATTGACTAATTAAATATATTAGTAAAGGGTATCCTGAGGTCGAAAACCTCAACTTATTCCCACTGGTTGTGTTTCTTATGTTGCGCTTGCGCAATCCCAAAAACCTTCTTCTCTACTTTTTCTGCGCTCTTTTCATTGCGCATGCGCAAAAATGTGGGAAAGGAGAGGGTGGGGGGTGAGGCAGAGTTTTGGGGATGTCGGCACATGCGCTTTGTTTGTCTGTTGCTAGTACACTCAAAAAAATGAATACATTTTTTCCTGATTATATGTTAGCAAGCTTACTATTTTTATAAAAAATACAAAGTGGTTTAAGCCCATGATAAAATATAACATTTGATGGGTACGTTTGATCTGAAATCTTTCTTTCCCATTGAAAATGTATTAAACTTTTCTCTGTGCATTGGGTTCATTGCTATTGTGTGTCTGTGTGTTTGCAAGAATTCCCAGAAATATTTTACTTCGAAATTTGTTAACAAGCAGACAACAAGAGCAACAACAACAGAAGCGATTCGAACACATAGGGAACACTGTGTTTTTGTTTGTTGTTTTGGCCTGGGCCATGAAGTGTATCAAGTGTTTGCTGGGTTAGCTTCTTTTCTTTTTGGTCGGCTTTGTTCACTGCCTGAGACTTCAAGTTGAAGGTTAAAGTTGAGCCGGGCTGAGCTGAAGCCTTTCGATTGAATTAGAAAAAGTTCTGTTGTTTGAGTGGATTTCTTAGAGGTTTACCGGTCAGGACTTTGTTTAAGCCTTAGAAATTGAATGGATAAAAGTATTCTTCATTTTGACAGCCTTTGGCAGTTTTCAAGGATTTCAAAGGTTTAAGATTGCGAAGAGGATTTGAGTTGCGATGTCAAGAAATATTTATTACTGCAAAAAATCTTTCAATAAAAATAAATTTATATAAAGTTTTACCAAATGCAGTTTTTACATTAAGCAATTTTAAATTGCCTTATGTTGATAAGCTACAGATATAAAATCCGAAAGGAATGTGAAGAGCATTTAAAATATCAATTCATTTAAACCCGGCTTTGCACACTTTAGAGCCGATAAAATGATATATAAAGCCAGTAGATCCAGCCCGATGCAGCTCATGAGCCACTCTTTATTGAGAACTGCTAGCCAATAACTCATTCGATCTCATTCGATCTGGTAAGCAGCCTTCAAAGCCAGCCACATCGCAGCCGATGCCAATTCGAATCGCGACGCGTGTGGGGCACCAGACTCCGCAAATCGCTTCCAATTCCATTTACTCTGCCAGACGATCCGTCGAGGCACTCGAGTGCATAGTTTTAATTGCAAATTGCAAAACTGACCAGTCAGTCATAACGAGTCTAATTAAGGCGATGTCTGCGCGGCCGAACAAAAATCTTGCATATTTTTAGATCCACCAGCTGGCCATTTGCATTCGCAGACGGCACTATTCAATGTCAATTATACACTGAACAAACAACAGGATTGTTTTTGAATTAATTACTGGGTCACTTCCGCCATTCACTATCGATTAAAGATTTTGCGATATTTATATAAATTTTGATTTCTAACTGAATCCCATTACATTTCCTCCTATAATGTTTATATTTCTTATTTAACTTTATAGACTTAAAAGAATAAAAAAAACTAAATTCAACAAATTTAAAAAAATACAAAAAATTGTGTAAAAATATTTATCGTTCTGAAAATTAATTAATATCACTTTAGCTTACGAAACATCATTTCTGCATCTTTGTATTAGAAGTGAGTCTTAGTAAAGCCTTGTATCCAATCTTTATTTTAAAAATAAAATATAATATCCCAATCGTAATTTTAATAGGAAAAAATTAATAAATTTATGTTAAATGATCATTTGAAAACACCAAATCGAATCGATCGTGAGTGAATTTGTTTTTTCCTTGTGCAGTCAGTCGAATTAGAAAGGGAGATTCGCGAGGAAGATGAAGAACGGCGAGCTGTGAGTGGCAATGAGTTAATTTGCTGCCAAAACACACCCTCGGGCCTCATTAGCCTGCACTCTGAGTGAGATTTATAGACGAGCTGCCGGGGAATTAGTTGGAAATGCAAAAACCCTGGGGGTCACGGACATGGGCGGAGGGCGGAGGGCAGAAGGGGGCGGCAACAGCAGCCGCTCTGCGGGTTGCCCGGCTAAATGGGCGCCTAAGGTGTCGGCCCAGCTAGCCAAGATTGCATTGTGGCCACATGGCAGGGCCGATGAGCATGAATAATGAGCACTAGGCCAGCAAAAAACTGGCTAACTTAGTTCAAGTATAGGTCTTTCCCATCCCATAAATATGCCATTTTGCATGTCGTAATTCATAAACTGTGCTAAACTGTTTTTCTTTTTCCAAACCCTTTTAAGTTGGATTTTACCTGGATGCCAATTACATATAATCTTGTGTTATGGAAAAGGGGATTACTATTGGTTTAAAGTACCCTTTAACTTGAACAATATGTTAAATAGGTAATTTGTTACTAAGAAGCATATCTACATTGTGTCTTAAAAGTGATGGCTTAGTTTTTATTTTTTTCTTATAAATGGTCCCAATTTCATAAATTTCTTCTAACTACTGTAATTGATAAGTCTGAAAAAATGTTTATTACTCACCATGTGCAATGAACCAAGTTGGCTGCTCCCTAACAACATAAACATGTTCGCAGCTGGAGGGGAAAAATGACTTTCCATTTGTTTTTGCATTTGCTGTGACATTTTGAGTTATTTGACACTTTGCAGGCGCATATCATCTTTCCCCTTCGCGCTGTTTCGCCATCGCTCTTTCGGTCTTTCTTCTTGCAGTTTATTAACTCATTATTTTGAAATCAACTTGGCCTGGCAGGCAAAACGTGTTGCAGTTGCAGAAGTTTCTGCCTGACAAGTTGGCTGCACACCAGCAACATGTGCATGATGTTGCTGCTGTCGCAAGTGCAAAACTTGCACAACTTTTCTCTTCGGTTGTTGATTAAGTACTCCGGCACTCTTTCTCCCATTAGCGAGCGAATATTATTCATTAAATTTTATACGAATTGCGGCGACCGCAATTGGGCACAACAAGAAGTTTGCCGCTCTTAATTGATGCAATCAATAATTGCGGACATATCTTTAATTTCCATCAGAGTTTCCTCCTCCTTTTTTTCCCAGGGAAACCGCATTTCTGTTCATCTCCATCATCGGATTCAGCCCATAAACCGCACATAACAATCGAATTCGCACCTATGAACACAAAATTAGCTAACTCATAAAAATTCAGTAGTCTTGAGCCCCTTTTCGCATAAAACTTCCCATGAAAATTTAAACAAAACAAATTTTGAATGCGCCGCTTATTTGGATATAAGGTTAAGCCTCTAAAACTTTTATCTTAAATGCTGAAAAAATCATTCAAAAAAAACAAAACCAATTAATTATTTACCCATTTAACTGTGGTTACTATTTTGTTATTTTTTTGTGGATTGCAAAACTCAAGGAACAACAACAACTGCCACTGCCTTTTACTGCGTAACATTTTGTTGTAGTGAGGCGAACCAAACACAGTGATAAAAAGCTACAGCTAAAAACTATTCATATCTCCTCCGTATTGAGTACAGTATTTAATGTTTGAAGAAAACAAAGTTATAGGTACTTAGTTTTTATGAGTTTGTATGATCATTGGTAGAATAATTTCCTGTTTTCGGATTGTTAAAGCATAAAAATTAAATAAAATTAAAATAAGTGAATTTTAAAATTTAAAAGCGTGGAAGTAACATTATTAATTTAACCCATCCACCCGATATTTATAATACAAGGTTTTGAATGTTTTCTAATTTTGTTATATTTTATATATATATATCAATATATATTTTCTTTAAAGAAACTATAGTTTTCGGGAAATTAGGGTTCTTATAAAGTATCAATTTATAGAAATTCTTAATGGATTTCCACTGTATTTTGAGACTATCTCCGCCTGATTGTGGCAGTAGTTGTGAAGTTGTAGGCGTGAGTAGTTTGCCGATGTCTGTGGGTCTGTCGGTATCTTTTTCTCTGATGTTTCGAAAAAGAGACGTGAACAAGTAGCCGAGGACATGGCCACCGAATTCAAATGGAGTGGCAAAAAAGAAGTAGCGATAAGATACAAAATTGTATATCTCGTGGCGATCTGTTCAATGGATTTGCAATTACATTCATGAAATTTAATTGGCGATGGGAAAAAACCTTGACTGGATTAAGCATGTGGGGACAATGTGTTCAAAGGAAAGGAATAAGTGCGGCATCTGTGTTGATTTATGGATAATAATTCCAACTCATTGAGGAGTTTCATTGGGATCGACATAAATTTTAGCCGTGGTGGGAAGTTCCCCTTGGCCCCAACTCCGGTATAATATAGTATCTGATTTTGGCATCTAGCACATCGCCCTATCAGACCTTGCGATCTCCATTAAAGTTAGCCCATCTTCCCCATTAAAAACTCTCGAAGCCAAAAAGTCACGTTTTCACCGATGCCTCCCCTGCATAAAAGTTGAGATCAACATGCGATAGATCGACTGAAAAGAAACCAACGTACAAAGAGACGTGCAAAAAGCGCTTAGCTAACATTTGTTGACTTTTGTTTACAAATGCAAATTTACCTCCAATATTTGCACTACAAACCCAAGCCATCTATTTCCACCCAGCTCTACTTCAATACTAATTCTTTTTCTTTTATTTCGAGCGCCGCGACAATTTGCCTAGCAAACTTTTTGCGTTCAGATAGCGGCGACAATTGTTTATTTAGACCCGAGCGAGGCGACGACAACAACAAGCAAAGCCAATTACCGTTTTTAATTATTTGTAAATATTGAAAAACTCCGACCGACTTTTCGCTTGGCGCCCGCAGAAAAAAAAGGCACAAAAAGTACAAAAATCCACCGAAAACCTTATCGATTTGGCAGTCCGAGCTACAGGTGCGCCCCTCAGCGGGCAAGGTGCGAACCACACCAAGTCGTAACCTTTTCCACATGTGGATATATATATATATTTATATATATATCCATGTATACACATGTCACCACTGTATCTAATCTCAAAGGCTCACATTTCGCGTGCCCAATTCCATGAGAATGAGAAATAGTCATGGATGGAAACGGAAGATTTATGGTATCCAATTAAACACGATGTGTACTACCATATAAATTTACAATCAAGTACAAAAATATTTTCAGCCTTGTTTTTTTAAAATTACAATTACAAAAGGTTTTTAAAATCTCCCATTTACGCCATGAAAAAATAAATGGTAAAAATAATATATTTGTATTTTTTATTATTTATTTAAAATAAAAACCTTCTATGAAAAAGGATCTTTTTTCTCGCAATGGTAGCAGTATTTTAGCTGTGCTTTCTATTAAGAAGGACTAAATTCATTAAAAAAGCATATTTTTTATTTGAAAAGATATTTCCTCTGTATCATAAAACCCCTGCTGCAATACAACACTCCATACTTTGTCTTTCTTATCTACCAACTCACATTCAATTTGTCACAAAAAAAATTGTTTGCCAAATTGAAGACGCGTGGGCAATGAACACCGCAAAATCAATAAATGTGAAGTGCACTCGTATGGAAATAAACATTTTCTTCCGTATTTACACGTAAGCTTGTTGCTGTCATAATATCAGTGAATGTTTTTTGGTTTTATTTTGAGCGAAGACCCTTTGCTGACTAATTTTTGGCAAATGAATATGGGGTTTAAGTGTTGTCATTCATTCACTTATTGTTTCCTCTTTTCGAAAAAACCTCTTCTTGAATATTACAAAGTGGGCGTGTCACATTGCGGTAATTTATTAAGTGTTTTTTCTCACTCTGTTTAATTGCTGCTCAGATGATTTAGTGTCTTTCCTTTCTCGCTTACCTCTTGTAGTCTTTTCTTATGACTTTCACCTCGCCAAAGTGAAATTACGGCCTAATGACTAAACATTTCATTTAATTAGAAGATTCATCGCGCGGATGAAACCAAACAATAACAAAAGCGCGGAACAAGAAAAGTTTTTTGAACTCTGTGAATCTGTAATCTTTAATCTTAGCTCATTACAAAAATTTGGCAATCAAGGAAATTGATCTGACACCTGAAACCTCAAAGAGGATTTAAGCAGTTTAATTTTGATTTTGATGGATGTGAAGATTTCGTGGAAGGAAATTTCTTTCGTACAGCAGAAATACCATTCAAAACTTCGTACATTTTTAGCTTAACCAAAAAAAAAACCTTGTATTAAGCAAACCCCTGCCGTTATTTTGACATTTTTGGAAGGTTGTTGTCGAACCCTTTTCGAGGATCGTTGACTCACCAGGAACCTGCAACGCTGCAACGTTGCAACGTTGCAACATAGCAGCGAATTAATTTATCAACATTTACCGCTACAATGTCAACGCCAGGAGAGAGAAGTTTGCAGCATTAAAAGGCCATAAATTTGTCGGCCAACTGGCCTGGCTGTGGACCATCCATCGGACTTCCAAGAAGCTGGCAACTTGATATAACCAAAGCCAAAGCCAACGCCGAACGTTTCTGAATAGCCACAATTTCTGGCGAGGAAAACCTCTGCGCCGAGACCAAAGTTTGATTTATGCGTTGCGATGCTCAATGGGCGATACGGAGCCAAGGAAGTAACCGCAGTCAAATTTCCAGGCCCAAACGGCACGACTACCAAATGCGCTCTGCCTGGCGGTTAAATGCAGCCAAACATAAATTATAGGCCATGGCTAAGTAGGAAAACTGTTGGGCCCAGCGCGGCACAGTGGAAAGGCTTGAAAAGTGAGAGATAAAATAGGTCTAACTTGAAAGTTACATTCCCAAAATGAGTCACAAATATTCGAACTCTTTCCTTCTTCTACTTGGAAATATGTGTAAAGTTGCACTTCATTTTTTCAGATCTAGATAAGCTCGTTTGGATTTACTTGATATTTAAAATTAATGTACTATTTTTGAAAATTAATACATTTATATTTAATGTGATATGTACGCCTAGATTAAGTGAGTAAGAAACTTAGAGATATAAACCAAATTAATGATTACATTGATCAAACAAATTTTTAAGAAGTTTATTTTTTCTGATGAAGTGGAGAAATGATTAATATCTTAGTCTTTTTCTTCAGATCAAAATAAGCAAATAATTTAACTGCAACTGCTTACAATTACAAATTTTATAACTAATTAAAATGTAAAAACACATGTAGCTCTCCTATGTTTTTTGTCCCACGATGTCTTGCATTTCCCAGCAGCTCTTCTGGCAGCACTTTTCGCATTTTCCTGCCGCCCCTACTACTTTCATAATGTTGGCAAACATTTAACGAAAGTCCATAAACACAATACACATGCCCAGGAACTTCAACGGCCAAATAATGCAAAATTTCCCTGCACTGCGGATGTTGGGGCTCTCCAGTCGTTGTTTGCCCGCCTCGATCCGATCCAGAGTCGAAGTCGGCGGATACATGTTGCCGCCGTCAATGTTTCGCCTTTGTCTCGTAAATTTTAACATTTTTATTATAAAAGCAAGCAGCACGGCTGCTGATTTCTCACACAATGCGCGCGATTTATTTTGTATGCATTGCGAGGCTGAAATTGATTAATTACAAAGCGGAAGACTTGCCGATCCCGTCGGGTTTAGACCAACATTTTGTTACCATTATTCATTGGTTCGTTTTTCAAGCTTAATTTTCTGTATTAGTTCGATTTTGTTTTTATTACAACAAGCAAAAATCAACGATTGTAAGCTTCGTGATTTGCCATAACCACGATTCGTTGATTTGTTTTCGTTCTACTTATTGTTATTCTGAAGGTTTTTGCATTATCTATATTACACTGACACCCCTGACACTTTAAAATTGTGTAATGCAAATGTGTGAATCAATAAAAAACTTGAATTGCTTTGAAAACATTTTTTATGGGTGTAATACACTCTAAAACTTAGATTGCGTAGACCAACCAAATGACAAACTTGAGTCAAATTATTACATTATTATGAAATTTAAAAAACCCATTAAGTTACAACTAACTAACACAAATGTGGCATTGAAATACAATTTTTGCGTTGAATTAAAATAGGGGAAATATGGAAGTACTTAATTTTTTACTTTGTATATAGTACTGTGAACTTAAGATCTTTAGCAGCACATGTTCTTATATGCAAGGCTATTTATTTAAAATATGGATTATACGGCAGCCTGGCGCCATGTAAATTTCCCATGGAATGCAAAACGACAAACTAAAATCTCATGTGACAATGAGGGGCAGTAAAGTCAGTCGCACTTACACTTAATTGCCTTCAAGTGTTTTGCAAAGCCCTAAATTGGCATCTCATCTTTGAAGAGGTAGGATGGATAGGGGGGGGATCTTAAGGGTTATCCAGTAAAATGTCAAAACAATTAATTCCAATCGACTCGCGCTAGATACAAATTTGTTTTGCTGTCGCTGTTGGTGCCGCAAGAAGTTGAGACATAATACTTTTGATGTCACATGTGTGTTTGCTTTTTAATGATTCTGTGTGCTACTTAAATTTCACGGAATTGTCGTTGTTTTTTGTTGCCGCTGTTTTAATGAGCTATTAAAATGTTTGGGGAATTGTAGTACATGTGTAAGAGCGAATTGCCATGTAAAAACCACACCAAGCGGATTCTTATAAAAATTTATTTTTAAGAAGAGGATTTCTTTTATGAGAGATGCTTCCACGTAATGATCACATAATGAGATCAGTTCTATTTATAATCCACTGTCTAATATCCAAAAATTCTTTTTTACGACAAAACTAATTTTGTTTGTTTTTCTTCTTTTCAGGTAAGTTTCGATTTAAACTAATGTCTTCCGGCATTTTACTTTAATTAACACTTGTAAGTAAATATGATATTTAAATAGACTCAAGCAGAACCTTAAGGTAAATAAAGTCATGAATTAGATCATCAGCAGTGGTTAAGGGTTTTCAAAGAAAACCAATCAAGTACTTTTTTAAACTAATAACCAGTAGTATGATCTCACTTAAATACAATTAAATAAAACTCTGCCTTCTATAGCATGGCAAATACGCACAATTTATTAAGTTGTAAAGCCTTTTGGAATTACCTGACACACTTCATTAGGCAGACTCCGTTTAAACGCTTCATTTGCCAAATCAATTAACATAATTAGCCGGCAAACACGATATGATCTCATAACCAGTTTCCTTGGCTGCCAAATCCTTCGGTTAATTGGCGAACTAAGAGAAGAACAAAGGAGTTCTACCTGTGTCAGTCTAAATTCATATTTCAAACATCAATTCCGAGAAGCGAGTGTGGACACAATATTTCATAAATGTCTGGCAAAAGGTCTGGCGACTGAAACCAAAGCTCAACTCAGTCACACTTCCTTTTGGCTGAAGTTTCGTTTCGTCTCGGCCTTATTTGCAATCAAACACAAATGCACAAAGCATGGAAGAAGCTACATTAACCTTCAAGTCGGGTTCGCTGGTATTACTTTTTTGACAATTTTCTGAAATGTATTTTTCGTTTCGTTGCGCAAATAAAACGACTACAAACGCTGACAACAGCGACAACGACTCGAGTTTGTATCTAAAATCAACAAGTTCACGACGACATCACAAGCACAGCCAAAACAGAGAAGATAAAAACTTTTAAGCGTCGGGCAAATACACAAAGATACCAAAGAAACACCAACACAAATGCTCCCCATTCATTGCCAGACCTTTGCTCAAAAGGCAAATAGAACTCCAAACAAAAACTCGTACTGAACCTGTGGAAACCCATTTGAGTGACAAGCCAAAACAGATAATTCACCCGCGCACCCAATGTCTTTTGGGGTGGCAATAATCAAATCGGTTTTAGGTTTGGGGCAGTAAGTTTCCATTGTGAAAATTGGGATTTCATAAGAAAATCATATGAAATTTGATATCCAAATGATTGTAATGCGATAAACAAAAAAATTCCAAATGTGCAGTAGATTTCCATTCAATTATAAAATAGTTCGTCGCTCTTTATTATTATAATATTATTTAAACTTAAATCATTTTCTAAATTTATAATATGTTATTCATTAATAATTGCCTATACGAAACTTCGTAGGTTGGAAAAATAGATTCTTAATGTGGGATATATATATATGTATACATGCCGCACAAAATCTGATATAAAGTTTCCAATTGTCCCGTAGATAAAAGGGGTATAATTTATAAAAATCGGAGGGTGAAATAAGTTTCCCCAAAACTTCGATGGTGAGAACTCCAGAGCTCCCCACAAGTTTTATTGCTGCCATTTCGGTTTTAAAATGGTTTTATGTTGTACAAAAAAATAACAATTAATTTAGTCTGTTGGGAGAAAGTTCTGATTTTATTCTTAAATTATTTTCGGAGTTCTCTAGAGCTACCGTTTCCTGTTACGTATTCTATAAAACTGAAATTTAAACGAGAAACAGCTAAAAAAAATGTTTTCTCCAATCCTACTGAAAACCGACTTCAGTTTTCATACCATTGGAATCAAGCACGAGCTTTTAAAATACCTTTTTGAAGAAATTGAATCCGGAATCCGGCTGCCAGTGAGTAATGGCATTGGAAATCGATCGCCAGTGAATTAAATTTCGCACCTTTAATTGCAATTCAATACATTTGTAATGGATATCAATCGAATACTTTTGTCTTCGAGTTACAGCCTACAAAATTAACCACAATTCAAGTAAGTTAGTGGTTTTGTTTTCAAGCATTTTGTTTTGAGGTTTCTTTAGGTTATTTTTGATTTCATGGTGAGGTTGTAATATTAAGCATAACTTCTCAACTTAAATTATACAAATACGGTGGAATATTGGGCTTGTTTAAATTTTGCGTAAAGATCTTCTCTAGTCGTTATAATTTATTTTGAAATCTTTGCATCCTTCTTAGCATTGCTTTCCTGTAATATCAGGGATTCTATTTTCTTAAGGCTCTCCTCGATCTTCTGCCTCTGAAGCTGCTCTTCCTTGCTCAGCTCCTCGGCATTGGGTTCCAGTTTGCCCAAGGACTTTTCCTTGTCCTCCGGTTGGCTATCTCCTTGGGTACGTCTTCCCATGGGCAACCGGGTGACCATGTGGCGGGGTATCCGTATCTCCGCTCCTATGCGATTCTCGTTTTTGTACTGGCCAACTGCACGGATGAATGGCTTTAGGGGACACCCTTTGGCATTGGCCTCGTCCATCAGCTGGTGGGCGTACTCGAAGAAGAAGGCATCCTCGCGCAGCTCCTCCAATTGGGCCTCACGATTGTAATTGGTACCTGGTCGGGTCTCCTCCTCGATGCGTTTCTTCACCTGGTCATCGAGTTCTCGGCGGAGTTTTGTAATGCGTTGGAGGTGCTCCTGCCGTTGCTGCTTTTTGAACTGGACATTGGTGAGATCGTTTTGGAGGCGCAGCTTCACCGCCTCCCGTCGCTCCTCCTCCGCTCGCTGCCTGATCTTCCTGGCCAGCTCCTCCTCCTCTTTTTGGATGGCCAAACGAGCATTCTTGGCCTGTTCCCTGACTTCCCTCTTTTTGGCCTGCTCGGCACTATGGACTTTCCGCATCTCCTCCAACTGGCGCTGATGGCGCTCCTCATCCTCCCGAGCACTGTAGTGCAGGCGAGGAGCCAGCTCCTTGGCCAGTTTCTCATTCCTCCGGATGCGCTGCTCCACTCGCTCCTTGGCCCTGTCGCGTTTCAGCTTCTCCAGTCGTCCTTTGGCCTGGTTGTGGACATCGCACTGCACCTGCTCCACCTCCTCGAGCATCTGGAGACGCAAGTGGCGCTGTTTGGACATCACCAAGGAGGCCAGAGCCCCCTCCCTTTTCTGGCGCTGCTTGGAAGCCAGCTCCTCCTTCTCCTTGTCCCGCTGATCCTTCAGCATTCGCTCGTTGCGCTCACGCTCCTGAAGGGCTTCCTCCAACTCCTTGGCTTTGGTGGCCTGAAGGTAGTGGAAAAGGGTTTATATTTTAATTTTGAAATGATTTATACCGCGCGATTCAGTAAAAAAAGAAGTCAAACAATTGTATATAAATTAGAAATACCTAATTTTATAGTGTCAGTATTATTAATATATACGAGTTGATCAACTAACTAAAGTCATACAAATTGTGATACTTAAGATTAAGAATTATTTTTGATTTAATTTTAAAGACTTGCATCTAAACTTTGAAACTGATATAAACATTTAATTAAAAGTAGTATACGTACAGCTTTTTATGCTCTTTAGCTATTTCTGTTTTAACTACTGACATTTAGACGTGAGTAAATTTAAATTAATTGACTAGACCCAGAAAAAAAGAGCATAAAACGTGTTGCCCCGATGGCATTCCACTAATATTTTGTGGGCAAAATATGTGATATATGATGAATTTATATAGTTATTTTGGTAGACCCACCTGGCGTTCCCGCTCTCTATCCGCAATCAAGTGCAGTAGCTCCTTTTTGTGCTCGGCCAGCTGCTGGCATTGCTCCTTGTGGCGCTGCTGGGCCTCCTCGAATCCTCGAAGCACCTGCTCCTGGAAGATCTTCCTGTCCAGCTCCTGCTGCTGTTGGGTGGCCTTGGCGAACTCCGCCTGCACCTCCCGCTGAACATTCACACTTCGCAGGACCTCACTTTGTAGTCGGGCACATTGAAGTTCCCGTGGACCAGGACGCAGTTGCTCCAGCAGTTTCTGGGCAGCCTCGATGCGTTCTTTTCTGGTTTTCTGGTGCTCCAAGCGAGAGGCCTTGGTCTCCTCCTCCGCCAGACGTTTGGCCTCGAGGTACTCCTCCTGCTGCTGTTTCAGTTCCCGGGCACACTCCTCCTCCCGCGTGATGCACAGATTCCTTCCGGCGAATTTCCGGAGGAGCTCCTCGCCCCCAATCCGCAGCTTCTCATCCGCCTCATTGCGCATCAGCTGCTGATGAAGTTGCTCTTTTTTGGCCGCCTGACTGGCATTCGCCCGGATTCGTTGGAATCTGCTACTGGAGATGACCACCGGTGGCTTTTCCCGGAAAACTGGTTCTCGTCGCTCTTGGGGCAGCCAGCAATACTGCATGATTGAGAGATTGGTTATTGACTGGACATTTGTTTAAGGTTTCTTTCTCGGGAGTTGTGGGGTTTCCATGGTCGTTGATTTTATTTGGTAACCAGGGGGAATGATTATTGGGTAGCCTTAGAGTATATACAGTCTTAAATTTTATGAAAAAAACATTTACAAATATGTGAACAATTCTATTACTTTTAAAGAACATTCATTAAAGCGGTCATTTGTTATATGAATATATGAATAATTTAAATTAGGAGCCAAAAGTAAATCTACAAATGGTTTTTTGACATTATATAAATATTGGTTTAATCTGTTGAAGAAATTGTATTTTAATAAACTAAAAGTTCACATGCCATATTCTTTACAACCAATTTAAATCTATATACTATGATTTTACTTCAAATCCATTCACATTTTCCTCTAATTCAACCGTAAAACCGTCCAAATTATTTGGTAATGCTTGATTTTATCGCCTAATTCCGCTTAAATCATCCCAACCCATCATCCCACAGATGTCGTAACCGAAATGCCAACACAGAAATCGTCAAGAGTTGGCAACATTTTGAGTAGTTTATTTTAATTAATTAGTTTTGTGCGCAGAGTTCGCTGTGCGCACTGTTGTACGACACGGCGACAAGTTACTGTCAACGCAAATGGCAAAGATTTTGGTTTGATGGCTTAATTATGTCCAAAAGTTATGTTGAGGCCATTTGGCATAGTCGGCGCAAGTGACAGGTTTTGTGATAAAAATGTTGATGCTTTTGGCAATTACACTTAGCCACAATTTCTGTGGGGGCCACTCAAGCCGAACCGATCCAATCTGGTGTGGTTAGATATCTGGTTTTGGGCTCACTTCGAGTTTTCCGTTCAAATTGTCAACTCATTTCCCGAGTGCCGAGCCAAACCCTAAAGGGCAAATCTATTTGGGCACGCTTCATTTGGCTCGTATCGGGGCATTGAAATCGTAGATTTACCTCAAGAGGGTTTAAATAAATTTAATTAACACCTGGCTGTGAATCCGTACAAAAACACCGGCACAATGGCCCGTTTACGGGCCTTAGGAATATTCATTACAATTTTGAATTGGGTCAGTGCTCCGCTTTTGTCGCTCGTTGTTTGGGGGTTTTATATCTATCCAAGCCACACAAAATACACAAACCCATGACGGGGCGATAAAGGGGCAAGTCTAACTATTTACACCAAAATCCAGGTTATATACAAACTTTATCGCAGCGCAAGTCACTTTAAACTTTAAACACTCTGTAGGTGTCACAATGCGGTCAGTTCGCAGGGATAGAAAGTTCTTAGAAGTATAAAAGTTTAGTGGCCATTAAGTTAAGACCTTGAGCTGGTGACTTTTGTAGCTCTTAAGCATTACCAATATTTTTTAACTATTTTATTAAAAGTTAAGAAGAAAACATTGTAGATAAAATATTTACTTAAATCATTTAGTTAAAAGAAGAAAGGTAATTGATATTCTGAATCTAAGTGTTATTTTTAAATGCACACTTTAGCATTATGGAATACAAAATATTCCTATTGTGACTATTCTTTTCTTGAATTAGATGATAAAACGAAACGGGTATAAATTGTTCTAAAGCCCAGTATCTTTAGTCAATAATCTTACTTGAGCGGTATTTTAATTCTCGAGACCAGATTTTTGATGCTTGACTCACTTTTGTTCTGAGTGTAGTCGTTCTTATTTATTATTTTGCCTTTTTAAATTCCCATTCTTGTATTTTTAATTCCACCATTTGACCCCCTTTTCCACCACTTAAGATCGGTGCTAGTCAATTTCTCTAGCATTTAGAGCACTTCACAGTTTCCCAATGCTTATGACGTGAAGTGGCCTATAACTTGCTCACTTACACCAAACGAACGGCGACACCAACAAAACCTCGTAGGAGACTGCGTCAAGTACCCGATTCTTATCTAATCGAAACTTATTGGCTCCCCATAGACTTTGCCTGATACCATGTAAATATACGACTGCCAGTGGTTCTACTCCGTCTTCGTGCCCAGAGAAGGAGCATATAGACAGACGGCCGGACAGCCAGACACCCAGACACCCAGACATATATCACTTGATCTTCAAGTGCGAATGACAGCTCGGAGTAGGAAAGACAAGAGACAAGCGACCAGAGACCAGAGACCACAAGCCTTTCGCCTGTCCACGACTACCGTCCAGTTCGTTGCTTCCACTTGAATGACTTCATGTGCCCCCGTCGTCGGAAAACTTGAAAAACTCGTCTTTGTCTCCGGACAGCCAGAGGCTGGGGCAAAAGGCAGAGACGCAGGAATACAACCGCACTTACCTCGCTGGGTACTTGCACTTGGGAACAAGAGAATTGGAGAACTCGAGATCTGGAGAACCCAAGAACCCGATCAAGAGCAGCAAGAACAACGACTGGGCCAACAAATGAGTGCAACTGTTTTAGCCCGAACCTGCAGTCCAGTTTACACAGGCCACAGAAAAGAAAACAGATGAAAACAGAACAGTCCCCAGTGGCTTCTTTTGAGACTCTCTGCATCTGTATCTATATATATGTATTTGTATCTGTATCTTCCGCCGATCTGCAAGTTTTTCCCTCTCTTTTTGTGGTGGTTAGAGCAATTAACATGCAATTAAGAGACGTTTCAATCGCGAGAGCCATGGCCAAGACATCGTAAACACTTTAAGCGGTGGCAGGGTACAACTTCTGATGAGCCGATCTGGCTTCTTATGAAGGTTCTAATTATAAAGTTCCAATCGTTAAGCAGCGTTTCCATAGAAAGTTTAGACAGGAAATTGATTGGATGTTTCATGCCAAAAGAACTACACACAGAAGCAGTGAGAAATGTGTGAGTAATTTATAATTTATAAACCTTTGGCACACGATCAGTCATCAATAAGATACCCATTGAATCGAGGCACACACCCTTTTTTCTATCAAACATACATCTAACAATACAAGCTGCGTTTCACATGTTCCATAGTAAATTATCTGCAAAATTCTCAAGTTCTATTTCTGGACACTATCACATCGCCTTGTCATGTGCGCTTTTTAAGCAACTGACTTACAGTTTTGATAGGCATCTTATAAAAGAGAACATTGTCATTTCTTGTCTACGATCTTGAGAGTCAAGACCAGATCATAACGGAGCATTTATACCCATGTTAAAAGGTGGGTCGAAATTGTGGTTTGATTTATTAACCTGTCGGTCAAACGATTTACAAGCAAAGTCAAGAACAATAGGTGCCAAATACTTTCGAGGCTTATGTCATCTTGTGGTAGTAACTAAAACTTGTATACATGTAAATTGTATAACAACTTGTGAGTACTGAAAACCCAAAACAAATCCAACTGAAGCGAGACACAAATTTATGTTGAGGCTTTTCAATTTTGTGGGGTTAAATCAGTTGAACTCTTAATTGTGTAGTTTCATTATCAATTGAAGCGTTCCGTTCTTTTCACTATAAATACGCTTGACAGTCCAATTTTGCTCAGTTCATTATAGAATAGCTGATTTCATAGGGCGATATGTGTGGCGCAGCTATTAAGTTTTCCATGCCAGTTTGCCAACAAAACAACATTTCAATGTCAACTCGATCACGTTTTTGGAGGCAATTTGTTGCTGGATTATTTTGAATTTGATACAGTATAAAGAGCGTGGCAAATTGCCCAAGTGGCACAGGGGAGTGGAAAGTCTCGGTCTTACATGAGGTTTTACACTGGTTTTGTCATCCATCGAACAAACAAACACCTGAGACTTCGATTGGGTAACTCTGTGCACTGTAACCACTCAAAGTTGGTTGTAAGTCGAGCTATTAGATCTTCTTTTTTGCGTACTTGCTGCTCATGTTCGTCGATAATCTGAGGTTAATCTGGTTGGGCTCGGCTATGCCCCACTGTCATTTCAAGTGCTCGTCGATCGGTCCATGTTGCTCCATTAATCATGTGGGTAATGTAACCATGGGCAGCTAATATTTCAAGTGGCTAAGGATGAGTTCACCAGGTAATTATTAGGTCGTGTGCATCTAAGGTCAGTTACGAGGGAGAATTACAGCTTACCGAAGTATATTTTAAGCTTAAATTGAAAGTTTTAAGATCTATCCGTCTGTTCACCAATTGATGACTCATTTAAGACAATGACAGCTAAAAATATCTTTAAATTCTTTATTGACTTCATGAATTTTCGTTTTGCCAACAAAGCCAATTCAATCTGTCAATCAAACAATTACAAAAGTGTAACCGAATATTCTATCTCAGGGATTGATTTCACAAAAAAAAGCTTACAGTGCTGATTCTTTTTGATGCTTAAAAATAAAAAGCGAAATCAATCAATCAAAAGGCATTAAAAATGTTATTTTGAGTTATAAAAACCGAAAAAAGTTGAAAACAACTCCAACGGCGGGGCCAATCACACGCTCTATTTACAGCAAATTAAAAATTCAGAAACTACAGAAACAACAAGAAAGGAAAGCTAACTTCGGGCGGAGCCGAAGTTGATATACCCTTGCAGAATACTCTGTAAATTATATTCTCCAAAATTATTCATATGATGCATTCTTAATACTCATAAAAAATCCGAACTTCCTAACTTTAACAACAACAAAGTTATGGCATTTCCAATCGTTCAGTTATATGGCAGCTATAGGATATAGTCGGCCGATCCTTATGAAATTTGATAGGTCGGATTGATTGGCCAAAAATAAAATCCATAGAAAATCCCAACTTCCTAACTTTACAAACACCAAAGTTATGGCATTTCCGATCAATCAGTTATATGGCAGCTATAGGATATAGTCGGCCGATCCTTATGAAATTTGGTAGGTCGGATTGATTGGCCAAAAATAAAATCCATAGAAAATCCCAACTTCCTAACTTAACAAACACCAAAGTTATGGCATTTCCGATCAATCAGTTATATGGCAGCTATAGGATATAGTCGGCCGATCCTTATGAAATTTGGTGGGTCGGATTGATTGGCCAAATATAAAACCCATAGAAAATCCCAACTTTCTAACTTTACAAACACCAAAGTTATGGCATTTCCGATCAATCAGTTATATGGCAGCTATAGGATATAGTCGGCCGATCCTTATGAAATTTGGTAGGTTGGATTGATTGGCCAAATATAAAACCC